GATAGGGCAGGGATCCTTAAGATCTGACATGGCTATACGGTATTCTGTCTCTGAAGGAGGGTTACTGCTCCAGACTGGCATTACCCCGGGGTCAGACAGGGATGTCACTGACTTGTGTTCTCCCTATAACAAACAACTGTTACAGTAGACCTACAGCTTTGTACAGCAATGTACCTGTACCTGATCCTCCCATCTGGCGTTGTCACAAAACTCATACCTTTATAACATACAGCTTAACATGCTTATAGGGATTAAGGTTGAAACATTTTGATGACTCATGACCCTGCTATGGCAATTACATACACTTTAGGGTTTATCGATTGGCAGAATAGGCAGCAAATTCTCCCTGAATTTAAAATTTGAAAACAAAATTGCCTCTTGATTAGAGACAAAGACTTTACATAGAATATGTAAGCTAAAAATCTGACAATATTCTCTTTGCCATTTCAGTTTTCTTCTAGATGTTCTACGTGTGAAACAGAACTGGACTGGGTCAATCGTTGGAGCTCAATTGGTAGAGCGTCTGTCTATAGTTTGGAGGGGCTCGGGCTCCAATCCCGGTCTGGCCATGCATTTTTCCACTCCTATTACATTTGGTTCTTGTGACCAACCCTTGTTACAAGTACTGGGTGAATACTTGGCAAGGGGATACACAAACTTGGGTTGTCAATAGTGAGATCTTCAGGGACAAAGACTTTGAAAACTGGGGGAGGAATGAAGTCGGCAACAAGGTAGCTCGATTGGTAGAGTGTCCAACTAAAGTTCAGAAGGTCCCAGTTTCAAACCCCAGTCTGGCCATGCATTTTTCCACTCCTATTACATTTGGTGCCTGTGACCAAGCCTTGTTACAAGTACTGGGTGAATACTTGGCAAGGGGATACACAAACTTGGGTTGTCAATAGTGAGAGCTTCAGGGACAAAGACTTAGAAAACCGGGGGAGGAATTTAGTCAGCAACCAGGTAGCTCCAATTGGTAGAACGTCGTGCCTTTTTCCACTCCTATTACACACATGACATTGTGTTAGCCTTAACAGTAGTAATAACCTGAAAGATCTCGGCCAATCACAAGCCATAGCAGCCAACTTGTTTCATGGGATGGGATATGTTCTTGTTCACTGCACTGAATACCATTTACCTCAAAGTATGGTGGTCAGGTGGGACATTGGATAGTGCACTCGCCTTTAACCTAGATGGTCATAGTTTAATTCCCTGATTGGATGTGAAAAGGTATAGGGTCACCTGCCTAACCATGTGGGTTTTCTCTGGGTACTCTGGTTTTATCCCACATTAATCAATTTACCCCTAAAATCACATTTGAACCTTACCAAATCAAAGACTAGGCAAGTCCAGTTCAATAAATTATGTAGAGGTGAATGAGTTAAAACCTCCTACATTAACATTTGGGCCAACAAGTGTGATTCATAAATATAAGTATATATCTCAGCCAATAATGCAGCGCCGATTATGGCTCCCATTTGAGATTAGACAGTGCAACGACAATAAAAGTGAGAAAGTTGGAATACTATCCTCAATGGTCTTGAATGTCCTATCAGTGTCTGAACGCAGTCGTATACGTACGTAACAGAGTCCTACGGATCGGGAAAGGTCCAGAGAGGTCGGTCAAGCACTCCTGACAGTAAGGTGCATCCCGTAAAATTCTGAAAACTCAGCCGATTTTATCTAGTGGGATTACAATCGTGACTAAATGTGACAGATTCTGCTGTATCGGATCAAAATCGTGACATTGTCCTGTGTTTTCTGGGCCCGTATTCATGATACCGTTCTCATGCTCAAGTATGGAATTTGTGCTCAAGCCGAATTTCTTGTTCTACTTATAAATTCATAAACAAATCTTATTTTTTCAATGATTTAGAAAAACATTGAAGAGACTACAAGCCGACAACTGTTTTCAATGTTTACATTTGACTTTTTGACCGTTTGACATGATTTAAGCGAGTTACAAGAAAGTAGGTTTGAGCACAGAATCCATGCTTGAGCATGAGAACAGTTTCATGAATACAGTCCCTGTGGATCGGGATGCTGTTGTGATGAACAGGTATGATTTGGAGAAATTTTTCATTGCCATTTCCTGCTGATTGAGTCCAGATGTCTTCCATCAGCGTCGGTTCACTGTCTGGTCACTGTCTGATCCCTGTCGGATCGCATTCGGAAGAATCTGGATGTTGTCGGGACAGGTTCGATCGTTTTTTTCCATGTGGAAGATAACAAACCGGATCGGATTCTGAGTAAGAACGTGAGAATTGGGACAAATTCAACTTGAAACTGCTGAATAGGGACGCTTCCTGAACAATATCTGATTGTTGTTATGGTTAAATAAATGTTTTTACAAATTTGTGAATATCCCGTCACGAATCACAGGATCTTGATCAGACTGTTGACAAATTTTAATCGGGAATGGTCCTATCAAGGACGGCAGTAAAAGTCCTGAATGTGTGATCGAGGTCTTAGAAGTAACGCATGGTGGCTATCTTGGATTTGAGACTCCGGGTAATATGGCGTTAATATATCCACCAGGTACAACCAAAATGAACAGTCAGAAAGGGCCGTAAAATGTAGTTTTGACAGTGTATCACTCTGTTTTATTGTAGTATCATGATCGGTGACCTTGACCTTGACAGGTAGACATTTAGGATTTTAGAATCCTAGTGTCATTTTTCATGTAGGATATTTACCTAAAACTATTTACCATCCAAATAAACACGGGTTGTTCAAAAAGGGCAATGCAATGTATTATTAACCCCCATTCCCCATTCTATTTTAGAGACAGTGACTTGACAGTGCAAAGTCAACTTCAAGAAAATAAAGTATGGAAGGACAGGCACAGTTTTGTTCAAAACCATCCAATTTTTGCTATATTTTCATTCACATAGAACATTTATGAAATGCACTGCAATCATAACAACCCAACAATAATAAATCGAACAAATAATGATTTTGTAGAAATATTTTCAGTATTTCAGTCGTGGGTGTTATAATCTTACTCCACATTTGATTTGTGTAGGCCATAGAAAATGACCTTTAGTATCACTGAATGTATAGTACTGCGGTTCAATTAAGTCCGATAGATGTACATGTACAATGTATAAGTCAAAATGACAAACACTGACCTATATAATGACCCTGTATGAGTATTATTATGATTATGAAATAGGACATTGATTGGATAAGGTTAGATCACCTTTTATCAAACAGATAATTGACCTAGCATCTTTTCAGCAGGTATAGACAGACATGATAACGATAATGTCATTGTTTATCTTTTATCTAACTGGAAATATGCTCCGTTTTATTTTTCCCATTTAGCCCCTTGAACAAAAGGGAAACTCAACATGGGACAAAAAAAGACATGCATGTACATCAGTTGATTCACCTACCTATGGTGAATTTTAAAATTCAAAAAGCCAGTGGGCAAAAATTTGGTTGGCAAAATATTTATTGATAACATGCACACATATCACCGATTTGTGAATCAATGTTTGTACATTCCGTTACTCAGATAACCTCAACTTGAACCTAAATATGCAGATAACCCCATTAAAAACCAGGTCGTGACCGATATAAAAGTTGACGACAGTATCATAGCTACCATGTCAGCTTTTTCTAGATGGTGTCTGAGGTCCGGTTTTCTGTACAGTATTACTGGTTATATAATTATATCCACCAAGAAAAGCACTGACTGGTTTAGTTACGTTTTAGAGGGTTTAATGTTGTATCAACAGCTAAGGTCATTTAAGTACATGCCTCCATGTTTGTTGTGTCTATGGCTGCTGGAGGCAGGGTATGATAATGTATTTGCCTCCTTTAATATCATGGATGTGATGCCGACGTTAAGAGTGCTACCTCAATGAAATACCATGCTGAAGGCACCCAGTACGCTATTCTGACCGGCCATCATACTGACAACGGGTGAACCAGTTGTTGACATTAATTACCTTAAACAATAAACGTTAAGCAGGGAATAACAACTACATTTCTACGGATTATGGTATATGTATGTCCCGGCCTAGGGACAGAACCCATTGCCTTCTTCCCCTGGACGAATGTTAAACAAGAAAGGGAGGTGACAGTGACTGGACAATATTGCAATGATTAAGTGAAAACATTGTTACATAGACTTCAACTAATTTCCATACATTAGATATTTTCATAGTTATACATTCTTGTCATACTACAAAATATGACCTAATAATTTCCACCAGCCAATGGTAAATCTCTTTGATGTTCTTTAACTGATCAAAGGCAGTACATCAATTCTTGTTTGTATATAGACAGGTGTCTTTATAGACAGGTGGTCATTCTACACAATCTTAATTGACAGTAGTTCTTAACATGTCTTTATACACAGGTGTCCATTGTAGACAGGTGGTCTTTATAGACAGTGGGTTTTGTAGACAGGTGATCTTTATAGACAGTGGGTTTTGTAGACATGGGATCTTTATAGACATGGGGCTTTATAGACATGTGATCTTTGTAGACAGGTAGTCTTTATAGACATGGGGTTTTATAGACAGTTGCACATTATAGATTAGGGGCTTTATAGACAGGTGATCTTTATAAATTGGGGCTTTACAGACAGATGATATTTATAGATTGGGGCTTTATAGACAGGTGATCTTCATAGACAAGGGACTTTATAGACAGGTGAGCTTTATAGATGGTGATCTTTATAGATTAGGGCTTTACAGACAGGTGATCTTTATAACAAGGGACTTTATAGACAGGTGATCATTATAAATAAGGGACTTTATAGACAGGTGATCATTATAGACAAGTGTGCATTATAAACAGCGGTCTTTAAGGTAATTCTCAGTGTACTCATTGTTGAAACTAGCCTGAGTAAGTTTATCTAAGACAATTTAATACCAGATAGGTGATACATCCTTCATCTTCACACTTATTTCTGAATCAACACAAAAACATAAATCTCCGATAAAAAAAGGGGTGATTAAAAGTGTGTGTGTGTAAGAAGGCGGTATTACCTGAGGATCTTGTGGTAGAGTTTGTGCGGAATGCCAGTAAGGACTCCCGCCCCGTCCCCCGTGTCATTGTCGCACCCACATGCCCCGCGGTGCTCCATCCGCTGCAACATGATCTGTGCATCTCGCAAAACCTGCAAAACAATGATATACTACAGTATACCAGTGCTGTAAGTACATATGAAATTTCAGAAAGACACAGCCAATACTTGAGATATAGGGAGAATAAACTTCAAACAGAGCCCAACCCCTATGCCCCTAGGGGGGTCATACCCACCAATTATACAAAATTGAAACTCCTTGGTCCAAGGATGCTCCAGACTAAATAAGGATAAAATCCCTTAATCCAGATGGTCGAAGAAGGATTTTAAAGGTTTTACCTCTATTTCTCCTATAGGGCCCCGCCCTTCTGTCCCCTGGGAGACCACACCCACTGCTTATACAAAATTACGTCCCCTTGGCCCAAGGATGCTCCAGACTAAAGAATAATTTGCTATGTTTCCCCTATTGGGCCCCGCCCCTCAGCCCCAGGGGGCCAGACCCACCATTTATACAAAATTGGTTCCCTTTCCCCAATGGATGCTCCACATCAAATATGGACCAAATCCTTTCATTCCTACAGAAGAAGAGGGATTTTAAAGAATAATTTGCTATCTTTCCCCTATTGGGCCCATCCTCTCTTTTACCTTTACAATGTACAGTTTAAATTTCTGATGTTGTTATTGGTTTGGTTTGTTTGTGCTTATTATAACGTCCTATTAATAGCTGTGGTCATTTAAGGACGAGCCAAGTCTTGGTGGAGCAGGAAAACCAGAGTCCCCGGAGAAAAACCATGGACCTGTGGCCAGTGATTGGCAACTACCCTATATGTAGGCCTTGAACCCAGTGTCGAATGGTATTGTGAAGCATGGTAATATGAACCTGCCCCATGGTGACCCAGTGGTGGAGAGCTAGTTATCGTAGATGGGCAGGTGTCTTATAACTATAACCACTCAGCTACTGCAGCCCTAGGCCCATATTCATGAAACCTTTCTCATGCTCAAACTAAGTTTTGTGCTCAAATAAACTTTCTTGAACCTGTGATAGATTAATAATTAAATGGGGTTTTTTCAATGATTTGGAATAATTATGATGGCATAGAGGCTGAGCTGAATATTATTTTGAGTGTTTTCACCCGACTTTTTTATCATGCTACATGATTTAAGCCAGTTACAAGAAAGTTGGCTTGAGCTCAGAATTCTTTCTTAAAGCTGTCAGTGCAAGTTAAAAAGCTTTCAATTGAGATTTTAAAAAACCAGTTGATGTTTTTCTGGTTTAGAGATCTTCCCCATCTCATCCTTCTACATTTTAGTTTGTCCTTGTTGCTTGGTAACGAGTATGGGTCATGCTGGGTATAAAAAGCGTATTTCCCGTCAAACCGGTTATCATTTCTTCAATATGTGCACAAGGTGACACTCTATACTATATATATAGAACACTTCCACGCACAATTTTTTACCGACATTTTGTATCAGACCAGTTGAATAAAATCGAAAAAGAACACATAAAAAATATCATTTATCTAAGAAAAATGAAATTGCATTAAAATACGACCAATTAAAATATCTAATGCACAATGTGTTAGAGCAGTTTTATGCACAAGAAAGACCGATGTTATATATGGGATTTATAGAATTGAAGCATGTTCAGTAATAAACCTTTTATTTTGGATACATAATTTTGGAGAATGTGCCATAAGTAACAACCAGCTTGGCAGTGTTTCAAAGTTTAAGGTGCGAGTGTGTTTGATTTTTGATATTGGTTGCCGATCAGGGTGCGGGGTGCATTGAATCGCAAGACGTTCAGTTGTAGAATGATAACCGGTTGAACAGGTAATGCACTTTTTTGTACCAAGCAGAACCCATACTCGTTACCAAGTAAGGACAAAACTAAAATGTCAGCACTTCCTTAGAAACAATAGTCGGAAGATATGGGGAAGATCTCAAAACCAGAAAAACAAAGTTTGATTTTTTTTTTTTAATCTCAATTGAAAGTTTTTGATGTGCACTGTCAGCTTTAAGTATGAGAATGTTTTCATGAATTCAGACCCAGGTATTGCTATTTTTTATACATAGTTTATGACCTGTCAGAGAAGAATAACTTTAATTTTGACTTGACCAGGAACTGAATCCAAACTCTCGGCAATTTCAATTTCTCTTGAAATATACTGCAGTCACAGTATATGCAATGGGAAACTTCAACTCTCACAATCATAATTAAGTCTAACATTTTAAGCCCGAAAATCCTTAAAATTAAAATACCACTAAAATCTGCACATTTACACTCAATTACAGTATATAAAAATCTATTTTTATCGTTCATTCATTGTAAATACGTACATTGTATATACATTATTAATAATAGTATTTTAAGGAAATACTACAGAGAAATCAATATAGAACATTAAGTTACCAAACCATACTTCTATACAGCATATAGTCTAAACAATGAGTCTGTGTCTAGTGAGGCAAATTGATTTTAACTGTCACAACCCATTGTTTATACATGTAATGAAACTTAAATGCTTTCTACATGCAATAGGTCATTGATTGTAGATACCAGTAGTATACCAAGAAAGGGAACATTCATATACCCCTGGGGACAGCCACAGAATCAACTTCAGACTATATTGGTAAACACCTACACACACACAAGCACGACTCTAGCACACTACGTCTCCATCAGCAATTCTGAGAGCTCTCTAGTTCACAGCCAATCCCAGAACCACATCCCATGTTGCTGACGTCAAATATTCCCAAATCAATTGTCTCGAATGCAATTTGTTAAAATAGAACTGTATAAAAAGCACCAACATTTTGCCACAATTCCGTCCCAAAAGCCAGTCCTCCAGAAGGCCTTATTGATTTCATATCAACACAGCATTATAGATTATTTCTGTGTTTAGACATTGCTTGATGTACTTCTAAACCATTCTAAACCTAATGTTGTGTATCAACACAGTCTCTCTTCACTATACTATATTTAGAGAGTCGAGGTACTTGAATTCCTGTAGTCATCTAAGGGTTTTCAAAAGGGGAGGAAGATGAAGATAAATTAACACTAAGTCTATGAGGAGGTTCAAGTGATCCAGTACCCTTTTAAATCTATATAATACATATATATATGGACCGTGGAGTCGGGACTCATGTGCCACATTCTTGTGGGGTGGATCAAGGGGTTGAGCTCGAGGGCGAACACATGGATTTTTTTTTCTTAAATAGGCCAAAGTTATTTACATATTTGTTTGTAAACAACATGTTTTTCAAGGTGAAATTTCCCCTTATTTAACCTTAAGTCTTGCTTTAAAACTTAGAGGGTGTTGAAAGGGAAGGGTAGGGGGAGAGGTATATATGTGCCACACCTTATTGAAACAAATACTGCATGTGTACAAAGTAGCTCTATATTGTTCAGATGATTCAGACATTTGGCAATGCATGCCTTTTAAATCTATGTATGGTGTATGTAAATGATATGTCTAATCTGCAGCCCTTTCCATTTCATTGATAAATGAGGACAATTTTCAGCACTTTCATCTGATAAATTATTCAACAGAAAAATATTTGCATTTTTAAATGAATATGTATTTAAATAGTTTTTCATCCTTTTTTACAATCTGGTATGTGACCTTAATTTAAATTAATGGAATATTTTTCCTTGTAACATGACTAATGTTTTGACTGCTTCAATAGCACAGTTCTGTCTACAATTTGGAAAGGTTTGTTTGTGTTTTACGTCCTATTAACAGCTGTGGTCATTTAATTAGGATGTGCCAGATTTTAGTGGTGGAAGAAAGCCGGAGTTCCTGGAGAAAAACCAACAGCCTATGGCCAGTACCTGGCGACTGTCCTACGTAGGACTCAAACCTGTAACCCAGTGGTGGAGGGCTAGTGGTAGCGGAATGTCAAACGCCTTAACCACTTGGCCACCACGGCCCCTTTGTCTACAAGAGCTTACAGATGAACTGAACAACTGGGTTCATCCATTGTTCGAAACTTAAACTGCTGACAGTAGTACTTTTGCATGACCGAAACAACTATCAACGGTTATCCGGTAAACAGATGACTCGGTCAGAAGACTGTGAACCACTTACCAAAATCAATAACCGAATAATCAGACATGAACCCTATGGGGAGCCCAATGTTAACCAGGCTTAGACCTACAAATTATTCATCAATAAGATCAAAATCAGATTTTTTGTAATATTCAGACTGACTTGTTGGTGTCGTTTTTGTACTCAACTGAAAAGTTATATAAAGGTTGATGATACCATAAAAAGTCTTCACAGGAAGCAAGAATTCAAAGTTGTGGATTGCCAATTTTTCAAGGTTACAGAACTTGCATTATTTCAAGACTGCATGCTTGACTGAATTCAGCGAAACATTAAAAGGGATGCAATCAATAATTAATTGGTTTGTCGATCAAATTGTGTTTCTCTAGAACAATATAATGGCATACCAGTTCGAGTAGAAATAAATTAGATCCCACTTTTTTCTGAATGAAGTAGTCCATAAACCGACTGATCATGAGGTTACATGTATGTATTTCCTGCGTTTAGGTGTTGAAAGCTTGAAATACATCAGTATAATTTCATGCTAGTTAATATAAATTCAGTGTAAATACGTTTTGAATAGAACATTTGATTACCAAACTGACCGATTAATCAGTTATTCGGTCAGAAGATTTTTCTAGTAACCGGTTACTAAAATCTGTCTTGTTTGACAACCCTAATAAATACATGACAGTATGTGTTCATTGCCTGATGAACCTAGTCAGTTATCTTGCTTATCATGATTTATAGTTAATACAATTTTCCTTAACTAACAATATATCTTCCATTTAAGTAATTATATATATAATGAGAGATACCTAGCGTGTATGAGCAGGTAACATTATACATTGATTGCCCTTACACAATTCTTTGTTTCTCAGAGGTTAATCAAGTTTCATGAGGGCGAATTGAAACATGATTAACCTTGGAAAGGGCAGTAATTGTCAATTGTGGTGGCTTTTGTTGTTTTTCTAGACAGGCTCCAAAAAATGGAATTAAGATCGGAGAAACTTGAGGGTATGTGGACGGCAAAATGATCTTTTGTTGCCTGGTCATGTGACCAGTATCATCCAATCAGACAAGCTGTTATAAAGCTTAGGCATAATACCCCCCCCCCCCCCCCCCCCCCGTAATCATTTATAACACATTATTTCTTATAAAATTATATTGTATAGCTATACTTCATCATTTTCCTGTGAAAATTACTGTATACAAGGAAATTTTCGCCACAGTTCCCTTTTCGCCGTCCGCAATAAGGGCGGATTTATCATGAGAGTGAATATTCATTCACAGCCCACTCTATATAGTAATTATATATGAAGGGCAAAATTTACAATCACAAAATCATGAATTTTACCAGTGAAGGGTAGATATTTGACTGTACGAAAGGTTCCCGGTATACAGTTCACATTTGCATATAACTACCTTATGTGATCGGACGCCATCGATGCTGACAACAAATCCGACACCACAGGCGTCACTTTCGAGAGTAGGATCGTAGAGTCCACATTTCTCTGGAATTCCAGGAACACGACCCTCCACACAAGGCATCCCTAGCCCTGTGTAAATCTAGGTCAGCCTCGTCGGACTAGGCGTTGTTCTGAATGTGTTCGATTGTACAGGCCAATGAAGCCTCTTCAGATCTAGAGAGTGTGTTGTTCTGTGAATCTGCACTGTTTTATTTGATCTGTTGTTTATCTTCAGTTTACCGTCACGATATGTTTAAGCTTTTTAAGGTTGTATCAGATTATCTCTGGTGCCAAATCAAACAAAATTGCTGCTTCTCTTTGGTATTATTGGTATCCAGACCCAATGTCGACAGATATAATACCGTTTACTGCCGTATTGATCTGCAATGGAGGAAAACAACATACATTAGAAAGAGATAATTACAGTATGTATGCCATGCTTAAATTGGAAACAACTGGTAATACAGGACTGTAACAGGTGCTATGTTAAAATTACATCTCACACTTTCTACTCTCGTTTCTTCCCACATACACAGAAGATGTTTTGTACAGCTTTTAGGTACCAATACACCAACATCAAAGTGATGACAAACCTAGGCTGTAATGTAGGGATTTCAAGATAAAAAAATATAGTTAAACTGTAATCAAACTACATCCTTGTAAAAAAAAAAAAAAAAAAAATCTAGTCTAGCTCCTGAAGTCATTTCGGTACATATATAACAACTATATTGTACATACGTTTCCAGCGTAGCCGAAATCGACATCGATTTTATAGACATCTCGTTCACATTTTAAAACCTTTGTGTGCATACGCTTCATTGGTCATTTGTCTGATGAATATGACAGTGTACATATTGTACTAGTCATCGAAACTTCACATTGAAAATTTTATTAGTTGTGTTAAAAGAACTTTGCATAATCCATACTTACCAACCTGAAGAAAATGTTTAGAAATAGCTCCTGAACATTCTCTATTTTATATGACCATCAAAGTGCCCTTTGGATTATAATCAACTGCAATTTTTGTTTACAAATAATTATAACATATAGTTCAAATTTTCCTCAATAGAAGCAAAATTAACTTTGAAGTGAATATAATCTCCCCCATTGAACAAAAAAACACTCAAAAAAAAAAAGATTATTTTTCTGTCAAAAACAGATATAATTTCTAGATAAATTACTTCTAAAATCAACTCTAATGAAAAATGCTGCCAATATAAAGGAAAAACATTCTTGATTCCAAAATACATAGAATTGATCTTCATGTTTCTGATAATACATGCCTCTATGTACAAATGTCGATGTGAAATCCCTCAGGTACACACAGCCTATCGATCTGACAGCACGTACAACCCCATATCTATGACCTGTCTGCATACATAGATATCGCCTACAGTCTACACAGACAAGATGTATAGGATTATACAGAGCTATACAATAACATGGCATATCATAACAATTATCACTGGTGTTAGTAACACAATTAGGTGCACACTCCTCCTAGCTACTGTTACAGGTTGTGTACATCTCTTACAGATGGAGATCTGCCAGATGAACATAGACAACATTCGTAAAGAGCGACAAACAAGTCTAAATGTCAAGTTGTAACACCTGTTAACGCATAAAGAAAATCAATTAAGTCTATTTTTAATTCATAGGTTTTAATTATTGAAATATGATATCATTATAAATTAATCGATTAAAGTCTCAATCATCTTTTTAGGAATTTTAGTGAATCACAGAATTTTTTTATATACACCTCAGCTTTGGCAAAAGCTTGTAATTAATTAGTAGAGAGGATGGCTAGGATTCTTGGATGGCCTTTCAATGAGACACCTATCACAAATTGTTCCCGTCTACCAAGCAGTATAAATAGCTACCTGGCAGTACCAGCATTCTGAAAAATGATCCTGTGAAGGACCGGTGTCCTTCTCAGACAGGAAGAGAGAATTACTAACATAAATCTAGATCCGTTTCTTAACTCCATAAAAATCACCACGATGAACTCTTCATCTTTGTGTCAATTAAGGATGTATGCTACCCTACACATTTTAGTTGTGTTAGTTATCTCCCCTAAAAGTTATTTACCCTAACAACTAGGAGTAAAACGAGTGCTTGCAATGCTTGTGTTCCTGTACAGCTTCCATTGTTTCACTGAATGAGAAGAGTCAAAATTTCCTCATACGATAACAAATATAGATGAAATATGCTAGTGAAATTCATTACATGGAGTTCAACACTGGTTTTTCACCCTACATGCCCCCCAGCCTGTTCAGATGTCATGCAATTTTTTCCTAGATAGATTTGATATTTTGAAATGACCTCTACCTGAACCCATGTCTATTTCCTGTTTACACAGCTGAGAGGTATGACATCCCCTCCTCCTCTTATATGGATAGGAGAGTTATCAACACTTCAACTTATAGCATTGTGCCCTTAACATATTTATTTAGTAAAAAAAAATTAGATTTTGTCTGCCTTGCTGTGGTATTAGGAAATAATCATGTGTAAAAAATCGCTGTTTCTAATATACTAAACAACACCAAATGTACATGTTGCTTTCTGATTATATTTAATCAATACATTACATAAATACAGGATCGTAAAAGTGTTTTCATTTTAAATGAAATTTTCTTTTAAAAGATTTTTTTTTATTTCAGCCAATATCTGGCAAGTTTCATAAAGCCCACGAAATGGAAACTACCATAAGTACTTGCCAAAAATTAAAATACCCCTGGTATAAGCATATTTATATACACAGTCAACAAATTACCATAACTATTTGTTGCCACTTGTGTGTAACCATTTTTTTTAATAAAGTTAATGTTCCTTTCAATTGTGCACATTTGTAATTACAATAAAGTTGTAAGCTGTGATAATAGAAATATTCAATATGTGTTTATCAATTTCCACTAGTCCGTTATAGACAATTTGAAACATTTTCACTTAGCAACATCTATTCTTTGACCACATATCTACATGAACTAGGCCGTAGGTCCTTCAACTTTTCTTGCCAATCAACATTTTATAATTATCGGTTTTTGTGAGGTTAAAATAGTGAGAAACAGCTACAACATCAATTATTTGTGTTACTGTCTCTATACTAGTGAAAAAAATAGCCTGTTACAACAGAGTTATGTCCCTTTTACTGCTCTCTCTGATCAGCATCTGAAACACGTGTGTACATATATACATGACCGTGACTATATTTACACACACATACACACACATGCACACATAAATATGTATAATATAAACAAAATGTATCACAAGTCTACACAGTTTCACATAGTATACACCATTAACCCACACCAGTTGATGTTACAACTGCAAATAACGGGCTAAGAATAAACGAATGCAATGTTTACATCCGACATCGTGATTGCATGTTCCGCTTCATTTCATGCGATCGACACACATGTGTGCATGTAAAGTATGGGTATATTTTTTCAAAAACGACTAAAACACTCACGTGTGGATCCAAGTTGCCGTAGAGCATGTAGGGGATCTTGGTACACCACGCTACACCGGTACAGACTGATTTTATAATTGTCTGTTTCCCGGCCTTACAAATCTACAAACGATGCCGGTGAAGGTTATTTGCTACCGCGGCCACGTGAACCGAGCGTGTATCGCGGGCTTGTCGTTTCATTGGCTGGTTGTTACAGTTTCATTTATTAATGGTACATGTGTGCATTTCATTTACCTGTGGAAAAAATTGGTCAACATATTCAACTGTTGCCCCAGTGACGTATCAAAATATAACTTTGGCTGCCTGTAATTAACTGTTTCTGTTTTAAAAGCATTGTACCAGGGATGTGTAGTGGATGTATGTACTTTTCCATATTTTTTTTTACATAATAGACCCACGTGTACGTGTGTATGTAATGAGACGAAGATCTTAAATTCAAACAAGAAAAAAACACCTTGCAATATAGACATGAAAATTACTTAATGAGAAATTGCATTGGATGGCAAATTATATATCGTTTTTTACGCCTTTAGACAGTAAAAAGCTGACAGATGATCCGAGAAGTATATCTCTAGTGTTACCCTTAATATTGACATCATACAATCTACCTAAACATTTATTATCTTACCTGTCTGTGACTAAAATTGACCGTTTCATCTTGTAAGCGTCATGCTATAAATAATGTACCATGTTTTACCCCACCTTATACATTACAGAGGCATACAAAGCCATAGTCACGGACTTAGATAACTGATCTAATTCCGTGGTAGTATATAACGTCTCTGACATCTTGTTAGCACGGAAAAGTACACAGGAGTTTTAACGCGGGAGACTACCGAGAAAACGAATGAGGTCGATTCAGTTTTTTCAAGCCTGATCAACAGGGACCTGAGAATTTGTGACAGTTGAGCTAGGTATATTTGGACCAAAATGGAATTGTTTAGAGTTTTATTGGACGTTTTAGGGGTTTAGATCATAGAAACACCACACCAATGACGGTATAAACTAGATAAAAATGCCACACCCGAATTCTCATATCCCTGTGGCGCACCCCTGCAGGTGGGGGATCGGGAAAAGAATAACCTGCTGTTACCCACTGCATGTATCGTAGGAGGTGACTAATGCAGGACCCCCTGCAGAATTGGGGATTTGCTTTGGTGTCCCCTATTTGGGGACACAAAAGCGACCAAAATATATCTGCTGCACCCATTGTAATATTTTGGATCTGTATCTTTCTTTCTTCTTCTAAGCTAACTACCTTTTATTTCCTAGCGCCAGGCTTGGCAACACCTCACTTTTGGCTTTAATGTTGAGCATTCGTCCAGGTGAGGATGGCAATGGGCTCTGTCCCCAGGCCGGGACATACCAAAGTCCTTAAAATGGTGGTTGTTATTCCCTGCTTAACGTCCAGCATTTAGGGGAATGGCAACAACTGGTTCACCCGTTGTCAGTATAATGCGTCCGGGCGGAATGCTGTGCTGGGTGCCTTCGGCATGGCATTTCAGTGAGATAGTACTATAAAGTCGGCATCAGATCCGCGCTACCTCAAGGAGGCAAGAACACCAACATACCCTGTCTCCTGCATACACACACGCGATTCGCACATATGAAATTAAAAACAAGAGAATGCTAGCTATATGCGAAAAAAAGAGTTTCCAAGAAAGAAAAAAAATCATATCTTTAAGCGTACGAATTGTTGCTCTTTGACATCTCGTCCCTGCAGGTAGGGCGTAAGAATTGTACCTGCTGCCCCATTGCATGATCGTAACAGGCGACTAAATTTGGGATCTTAGCTTTTCACTTCTTTGTAAACAACCTTTTTCTTCCTAATGTCTCCCTTGACAATGCCTCACTTTTGGCCTTCAGTTGAGCGTTCGCCCCTGTGAGGAAGGCTTTGGGTTCTGTCCCCTGGCCGAGACATACCAGAGTCTGTAAAAATGGTAGTATCTACTCCTGCTTAACCTTTTCAACACTGTAGACTGGTTCACCCGTTGTCAGTATAATGTGACCGGGTGGGGTGTCCTGCTGGGTGTCCACTATAAAGTCGGCATCAGTTCCACACGGCTATCACAAGGAGACAAACACGAACATATCGCAGCCTCCTAAAACACACACGCATACACTACAGGCATGCATCTTGCACACAGGGGAGGCCATCCTTAAATGACCATAGCTGTTGATAGGACGTCAAACAATACTAAACCAAACCAAACCAATTTTTGATATCCGTTCGTGTTTTAAAATGGACAAACAAATATTTTCAACCAGGTCAAAATAAATAGTCTATTGGGCGATATTTCATAAATGAAACAAATAATTCTTATGGTAAAACAGGTTGTGTTTCCCGTTTCATGTACACTGTACATGATTATAGCGCGCGCATGTACATCTTTTAACAGGCGTGTTCGTCTACGGCCAGAAGGCTGCTGGTCCATGGAAGTACTACATGTTTAAACAAAATCATTCTTTTTATTTATAATTACATACATAAACCAAACTATACACGATCGCCAGAACGTTCGGGCGTTTTTTCAATCAACGTAGCTCTATTTGGACCTAAACTAAGGTGTTCCGAGTAATTTTACAGCCTTTAGGGGTTTCCGAAAGTCGATCTCAAACCCTAAAACATGTAAAATTACTCTGAACACCTTAGTGTTAACACCAAATAGATCTGTAACAAATTATCAGGTCCCTGTGGTGGAAACCACAGGACGTGAGAATTTTACAGCTAGTCTGTCTGTCTGGACAACTCCTTCTAAAGTAATGGACCAATTTCAAGGAAACTTTCCAGATATGATAGCTACCACCTGAAGTTGTGCATTAAGGTATTACTTTTATTCTGAACCTTTTTTCAAACCCAATATTGGGTTTGATCTGTGAATACTTTGTCCACGTCCGGTGCTTCTCCGTGCGTGAAAGCCTTCTGGGAAATTAAGGCCGCATACTATCTTCAAAAATATGATAGTAAACCCTATGTAATTATAACAGTTTACTAGTGAAATATTATGAATTCTCCATTTGATAAAAACATATCATAATGCAGTGAAGATATACGAAATATTTTATCTTCAAATGTGAAGAGATCATTCAATTCTCTGCGTACATTTTCAGTTGCAAGTTTAGATGAAGCGACGGCAGAATAGGTGATTGTGTGTCCACCTATGCAGCACACATTATTGTTTTTATATAAATACACTATTAATATCATTTTGGTCTGGAAATCTTACCAGACTTCGGTATCACAATTGATTTAAACATATTTATTGCCCCAAATTTGAGCAGAGGATTAGGCACAAGTTCTATCAACTTATCAACGCCTTTTCCTCCAATACAGCACATATTGATATTTATATCACAACGATAATTTCTCTTCGTTGTAATGTGTAGTTCGAAAGTTGAATTCCAAGATGTTGAATTGTAGTCCAAATATAAATTTATTAAAATAACTTTCTCTAGGTCGGTGGGTGATTTCTGGGGTATCCAAAAACACACCCGTACAGTCCGATGCCCAGCTCTTAACTGATCACCAAAACATGCAGGACAGTGATACATTGACAATTAACTCAATTAAGTTAATTTGATTGACAGCTGTCACTTATCTCTCTATTCTGACTGGTGAGTACCCGAACAGGTAAGGCAATTAGCCTGTCCTTTTTCCGAGACTTTAGTGTCATACTTGGTAAGACCAGTTAATTTCATTACGTATCATAATGGTATATGATGGACACCAATAGTGCTTGAGTTAATCTGACGACAATGAATCAAAGCAGCTATATTCACACATAGAGGTTTTCTTAAGTGGTACAAATGTAATTAAATAGCTTTTAGGCATGAAATTGTTACTAAACGAAATTAAATGGCGAAAGTTTGTAAGAGGAAATCCAAAATAATGAATGAGATGAAATGTTAAATTAATGTTCATAAATAGCACTATTATCATAAAATTCTTTATGATAAATCCCTCCGGCTTCAAAAATGAAACGTCCTCGTTTCAAAAATATCTCTTGGATTGTCACTTTTTTTCCAAAACGATTTTTCAAAGAGCTGTACTGATGCCTGAGTTTAGTATGTAGTATATTTAAATTGCGTTCGCCAAAATTATAATAAGATGGTGGAGACGAATTTGCACCATTGGATATAGCAGATTTAAAAGTATTTAAAGATGGCAATGTTCTTATTGTATTGTCTAACGAATTCCAAAGACGTAAACTCGATGGCAAAAAAGAAGAGTTGCTTGAGGAGAGTCTGAAAGAAGGAATATTGTAATCATTTATGTTACCCACTGTGATTGGCAAAAGGGCCGATAAATAACTGGGGGTTAAATTGTTTTTCATTTTATATAATTATTCAATTTTCGCCTATCACAACTATCAAAAACATTTTCTCAAATCTCAAGCTCAAATCTTAAGTTTGAATTCAGCTGAGATTTACCGCCAAATGGGTATCACAAAGCTGGTAAAACGTAAAGGTTAAGTCTCCAAGGTTGGAGCAGACTCTGGAATCATTTCTAATTTCATTACTGTATTTGTCGCTTTATGCCCAGCATTTGTATACGTAGTTATGGGATGGGGATCTCAATCGTTTTAAAGTTATGGCCCAGGGACTATGTCTCTAAGGGTGGGGCCAAACCCCTGGGCAATCCTGGAAACATACGTGCATTCTTCTCTTCATTCTCAGCAATTGTATATATGGTTAAAGGGTGGGGATCTCGACCATTTCCAAGCAATAAACTATTTCTGGCCCCACCCTTTAGCCAAGGGGGTCAGCCCCACTGCTTGTACAATTTGAATCCCTGCCTCCCATGAATGCTTCCAACCAAATATGATTGATATCCAGTGCATAGTTCTCCAGAAGAAGTCATTATAGCAATTTAGCCAAATTGCCCCCGCCCCTCAGCCCCCTTGGGAGTCAGCCCCACCATTTGTACAATTTTGAATCCCCATTACATAGGGATGCTTCAGGTCAGAATCCCTGCCTCCCAATCTTTTAGTTGTAGAGAAGAAGCCGCTTCAAGCAATATAGCCAAATAACCCTTTTAGGCCCCGCCCCTCAGCCCCCTGGGGGGGCCCCGCCCCTCAGCCCCCTGGGGGGGTCAGCCCCACCATTTGTACAATTTTGAATCCCAATTACATAGGGATGCTTCCAGTAAAATATGGTTCAATGATATCCATCCCATAGTTCCAGAGGAGAAGTCGCCTAAAGCAATATAGCCAAATAACCCTTTTTGGCCCGCCCCTCAGCCCCCTGGGGGGGTCAGCCCCACAATTTGTACAATTTTGAATCCCCACTACCTAGGGATGCTTCCAGTCAAATATGGTTGATGTTCATCTTTTAGTTGTAGAGAAGAAGTCGCTTAAAGCAATATAGCCAAATAACCCTTCTTGGCCCCGCCCCTCAGCCCCATGGGGGGTCAGCCCCACCATTTGTATGCTACTGACCAAAAATGATTGATATCAGTTCTACAGAAGAAGTCGTTTATAGCAATATAGCCAAATTGTCCCTTTTGGCCCACCCTCAGCCCCCTGGTGGATTAACCCTACCATTTGTACAATTTTGAATCCCCACCACCTAGTGATGCTTCCAGTCAAATTTAGTTAAATTCCAATCAGTGGAAGAAGTTGTTTGAAGAATTTGTTGACGGACGGACGACGGATGGACGAGTCACGACGAACGCCACGGTATGGCATAAGCTCACCTTGGTCCTGCAGGTGAGCTAGAAAATGGGGTCCTGCAGCTTTGCTGCTTTTTCTTGTTTACGATGTTTTGGCCCTTTGTTGAAAAAATCCTGAAACTTTTTGTCCGGACAACTCCTTCTAAAGTTAACGATCGATTTCAACGAAACTTTCCTGATATGATAACTTCCACCTGAAGTTGTGTATCCAGGTAATATTTTTTCATTCTGACCTTTTTTTACGGAGATATTGCCCTTTGTTGAAAAATGCTTGCCTGCACAACTTCTCCAAAAGTACTGGACCAATTTCAATGAAAGTTTTCCGATATGATAACTACCACCTAATATAGTGTGCATCCAGGTTTTATTTTTTCAATCTGTTCCTTTTTTCTGAGTAATGGCCCTTTGTTGAAAGACAACTCCTCCAACACTATGCAGCCAATTTCAATGGAAGTTTTCAGATATGATAACTACCACATGAAGATGTGCATCCAGGTATTTTTTCCAACCCTTTCTTATGGAGTTATGCCCTTTGCTGAAAAATACATGTCCTGCCAACTTCTCCTAAGCTACTGGACCAATTTCAATGAAAGTTTACAGATATGGTAACTGCCCCCTGACGTTGTGCATCCAAGAAGTACTTTTTCATTCCGGCCTTTTTAAAAGTTATGGCCCTTTGTTGAAAGAAACCTTTGTCTGCCTCCTAAACCACTGGGCCAATTTCACTGAAAGTGTACAGATATGGTAATTTACCCCAATGTCGTTCATCGGGCTATCATTTTTTTTAATTCGACCCTTTTTAAGGAGTTATTGCCCTTTGTTAAAATCTTTGTCTTGACATCTCTTCCTTATCTAATAGGACGATTTCAGCAAGAAAGCATTACTGGTGGGAGACTTTTCGATTTTCCGTCATCGAGATCTTTCCGCCCTTCTCGTATATTATCATCATTGGGGCTGGTATTTTTTACCTAAAATCGATCTAACCCATGATTGAATTTCAATTTGATTATAAATAATTCCGTCTTTGCGTATTGCAGAGTTATCTTCTCTTGGGAGCAGGTTTTGATTGTTACGTCATTGGTTTGTGCGTGAAAATGACGTCATTTTCTCAAAAATTGATGACGTTACTGTCACAAACAAGTGACGTAACAATCAATCCCTGCACCCAAGAGAAGATAACTCTGCAATACGCAAAGACGGAATAGCTACCGGATATTTGTGCAAGTACTTTACCCGGGCGACAGAAGTCATTATGTAAGGATGCAAGGTGTGTTAATATTGACACTTTGCTACGCTATGTCGTCCATATCATATATTAAATACTGTTTATTCTTCCAGCGCTAAGGTCAACGCATTCCTTTCTCGTCAAAAGACAAGATAAACCACAGTCATGTATTACTTATTTTGCAATAATTTCATGATTTTTTGCTTTCAAATTCCACTAAATGAAAGAATGCATTGTTAATTTCTCTTATGCTTTGAAAAGTCCGTTTATACTATAGTGTCAAGTACTACCTTCTATGGAGAAATATCTTAACAAAGGGATTAGTGGTGGCTCGATAGTGGTACAACGGGATTAGTGGTTGCTGGATAGTGGCACAACGGGATTAGTGGTGACTGGATAGTGGCACAACGGGATTAGTGGTGGCTGGATAGTGGAACAACGGGATTAGTGGTGGCTGGATAGTTCTGAATAAAATTACTCATTACTCATTACTATCATCACATATGCGATACGTGTCGATCTTTACACGTACATACTTTTGTAGTCCGACTTTCATCTGGTCCCGATACCAGACATCTATCTGTCAAAATCTGGTGTCGGGCCAGAGGAAACTCTGGCTAATATTTTTGGTGTGTTTACCATATAAACAACTAGAAAGCACGAATTTTTATTCATATATTTATTTTTCAATCAATAACATTTGCAATACTTCTTCCATCTTTCTTGAAAACAAGAATGCACCAACACCAAATGCTCATACACATATACGTGTATAGTAAATAAACAAACAACGGGCACCTGCAGCACATACATATTGTTATGTTAACATAATAGTTCTATACACAGTACACGTCCAATACAGAGATTCACGGTCCTGTTATCACAATGGCGTACATAGCATTGTTCGTGTGTATAATGCACGTCACCACTCGTGCCTGAACATGAAGTCCGACCTCATCACACATGTATCAGTTAGTATGGAGGAGAAGTTACGTCCGACTTACGTACTGACCACGAGATCACTAACAGTGGGATTTTCATCCTAGCTTTATTGTGGCCAGTCTCAATCCTTCCACAGAGTGCAAGCACCAGCGCGCATTAGATGGACGTCTTTGATACACTGCACATGTGCCTGACGCTCGCGCCGTTGTTTGATGACGTCAGCAAGGCCTTCTACGATCTCGATATCTTGGTTGTTCACTTCTACCAAGTTACCATGGAAACGGGTATGATAATTGATTACGCATGCAAATCGAACACGAACTGTTTTCTTCACATGCGTATTTGTGATTTCCATGGATTCCTCGATCTGTGGACATTCCGTGGCTGATTCTACAATGACGTCACCAATTGGTTGAGAGTTTGAATCGTAAAGAACAAATTTCTCGCCCTTTTCCAGAACATCGTGGCTGAATGCGTAGCCACCTTCGTCGTTGTCTGACCAAAAGAAACAGTCGTTGACGTTGAGTTTGTCTCCCTTGAATGTCAAGCGTTTTCCGTACCCCATGCCGACTGAAGTCAGGTAACGCCCTCTACCTTCAAACACGTCATCCTTCCTGCTGACGTAACGTACTTGGTACCGGAAGCCAGGGCAGATCCGTCGATCCACATAGAAACCTACAACGGAGAAACCCAAAATGAATACGATTGCATTTATTTAGTTTTAGAGTTTTTCAATGCAGAGTTTTAAAAATGTGATCTGCCAATTTTTATATCAATAGATTTTGTTTGTTTGTTTGTTATTTAAGTAACTTTGAAGTTGAAGTAAATCGATTATTTTGATGCTACTGATGTGCTTCCGTATCTGATTGGTATTTAGATATTCGTACATACTTGTTTCATTTTTCAAATCTTGTACGATTTTAATATCTCCAGTTAAGGTGTTTAACGTATTATACAAAAATAAACGTGAATTATATACCTTCTTACACTTAAAGTTTCAAAACAAATTAAATGGCTTCAGGTACATTATGAAGGCAATGTGAAGTTGACAAATGAAAAAAAATGGTACAGGTATACAGTATTTACAGTGTATTGATGTATACAATATTTACAGTGTATTGATGTATACAATATTTACAGTGTATTTGATGAATGAACTTGCGTGGTAGGATGTCCCTCCGCAGAGGAGAACAACTTACTACTCCCAATTATATGAGCAAGTTCATGTTATACGGACATCGTCCCATCACTGGGCTGCGGTTGTGTAGACTTAGAACTTCTCAAAAACTGAAAGTAAAAATATTGTCAAGAACACATGGCAAAGCAGGGCAATACGTCACTGTATGAGGCTTATCTGATTTCTGATTAATCATACTTGTCAAACCTATGTGCAATACGTCATCGTCGGTGAATATTGGAGTAGCATCTTAGACTTGTACAAGTCCTCGTCAATTGTACGTGCATCTTCGCTAGCCAAGTGTTTGCTTCGTATAACGAACACTTGGCTAGCGAAGATGGGTACTAGGGTCTCGAGTCAATTTTTGAAAACCGTCAGCATCATATAAGAAAAAACATATTAGTCGCATGAACTTTTAGTCATTATGGCATAATAAAATGATGGTTTCTACATAAAATATTCAAAGATCATACAGTATCACACCTGGTACATTTTACCAAAGATGTGTTTCTAACATCAAAGAGATCCTTATGCCGTGTTGGTTAATACACAAGATCATGTAAATACGACGAGGATGTGAAAATCTATCCCAATCATGAATAATAAAGGCTAATTTGATAAATAGAAATACATAAAATATTTAAAACACATATTTATAACATGTATAATCTTTTGAGGCGCTTCGAATAAAATAGTGAAAATAAAATGAGGGTATAAAGTATTCTAGCTGTTGACACATTATAGAGACTCATACACAGATGATCCTGTCCAGTGTTGCGTTTCAGTGGTCACAGCTAACGTTAGGTGATCATTTGTCAAATATGTAAATTGTACGTTACGAGATAGAAAGCGGTGAACGGTTGGTATTACAATAATCAGCCATCTACAGGCCCGCTCGCTCGAACACTTTTTAGCTTCACGGGTCATTAACGCACCCCGTTATTTTCGAAATGGGTTTGACAAAAAAATACCCTTGACTAGAGTTCGTCAAGGTACAAACTAACCCTTTTTATACTAGATAAAAGATTTACGTTAACGACACGTTTTAAATAACTTGGCGTTCTCATTTCAGCAAACGAAGTAGGAGTTATTACACGTGTGCTGTTTACTGGTACACAACTGTAGCTCGTAAGCTCAGTATACAACATATGACGCGTGTAACTCTCATTTCCGTTCACCACTTCCATCAACATGGCCTATAGTTTAACTTCCATTCTCGTCATGTCGTCATTGCTTGGTGGAACATAAACGTCGCTGGTGGGACCAAAACTGGTGGTCAATGGACGCCAATTCATATAGTTTTATTTATGCTAAATAGGGGTAATACTACCCAAATTAAACAAGTATGTTAAATTGAAAAGAACATGTTTGTGATAAACGTGCTTTTATAACCATACCGGCGGCGGCCATTGATTTCACCTATGAATGGGCCCCTTAAGTATTAAGTTGCTACTCCAGATATTCGGTGACGTATTTAACATTCCAGTCAGTGTCACTAAACACTGGTGATTTGTCTACAAGTCGGACTTATCCTATGGTGACCGCACTAAATACGTAGAGTACAATGGAACAACGCTAACATAACCCCCAAACATGGCGACCCCATATGAGAGAGAGCCTACCTTTGACTGGGAACTCGTGAGGGTATATACCCTGTATTGTGTACTGGACTGGAACATCATGGACATCTTCCCCTCTCAGGATCAAACTCTGGCCAGAGGTCAAATCTTCTGACGATGACGATTCTTCCTCAAAAGGTACTTCGTCTGGACAAAATGGTGCCCTATCTTGCCCTTCTAAGAGCAGGTCCTGCAGAGACAGGCGGTTCCTTTTGGCGGCATGAATACAATTGGTTATTCCGGATCCAAGGGCCTGTCTGGTCCTAAGAAGGGTTTCCAGGTCTTCCGTGCGCAGTGTAGCGTACAGGGATAGCCGCTTCGAGAAGCTTCCGTCAGAATCTACATCCAAAACTGATGGGACCGGTGCTATGATGTCGACAATGTCCATGGTTTCTTTCTTCAAAATGAAATTCTTTTAAAATCAATGAATCGTTTTCGTTAAGCGTTAACGCGTTTATAGTACAGCTATATGGATTATATAGAAAATGGCCTCGATATACTCTGATGTTTATTAACAACAGCTCCAGCGCTTCTACACTCTCGAGTGACTAGCTTGGCTTGCTGTATAATTACTCGAGTGGGGATCAATACTAATGTATACCGGCGCTTCTACAGACTTCCAACAAATTGACCAATCAAATTGCCCCGTGCAGATCAATATCGGTTTTCATTGGTTCGCCAGGCTTGGAATTTACCCACGTGAAACAGTCGTGTTTTATTCATGTCTGGTTATATTTATCAACCGCATCCTTAACCTCGCAATGAGAGACAGGTAGTGTGATTGTACAAGTCAACAGAAGAAACCGACATCGTGTTCCCCTGGCCTGCCATGTATGATGTAGCTGTGAATTCACAACAGTGTGCAGTGGCGGATCCAGAGGTTTTTTTGGGGCTTCAGGAACCCCCCCCCCCAGGAAATTTGAAAACACCCCAGATAAGTCTCTGGATCCGCCACTGGTGTGCACATATACAATAAAGTATACATAACACATTACGAGTTAAGAGAGTTACGAGAGACTGAAATCAGGGACGTAATATACTGTCCCTGCTATAATTGAGTTATTTAAAGGGCACTACGAGAGAGAAAGCTATATAGTATATGCCACACAGATATATTATATTATATAATGCATACATTTCAATATACAGTAATCAGCGATATATCAAATTATTACAACGTTTAAGGAAAGCTGCCAGAGTTTTTGTACTTTATTTAACCACGGACTTAGACTCCTAGTCCGTGATTTAACACAGTTCTCGTTTGATAACTCAAATTCATATGTCCATAGCTTTATCATTAGAAATACCATGTATTTCGTCATGATAAATGACAGGTATGTGTGATATGTAATAGACAAAACGACATCAAGTTCCCCTTGCCTGCCATTCCTACAGTTACTGTGAATTCACAACAGCGTGTGAAAGTTCAGAATCCCTCAAAAATAACAACAAATATGACATACTTGTGTTTATGTCAATACATAGAACACACGTAATTAAGGCGACAATGCAGGTTAACACATATAGAAACAGTACCATATGTTTTGAGAGTGCAACCAAGCTATTTATAATAATTAGGTTCTTCTCGAAATTTTGATAACTCAAATTCATAAAATCATTATAAATGTCCATAGCTTTATCATTTGAAATACCACGGATATCGTCATGATAAATGACAGTTATGTGTGATATGTAATAGACGAAACGACATCAAGTTCACAACAATGGGTGAAAGATCAGAATTACTCAAAAATAACAACAAATATGACATTTTTGTGTTTATGTCAATACCTAGAACACACGTAATTAAGGCGACAATGCAGGTTAATTAGTTTTGTTCATGTTTACATAACGTTCAATCTTTCAACTAGATCATCATTTAACACAATAGCGACTGGGACAAACATATAGTAGCTAATGGAGATCCGGTTTTAACCAGATTAACGCATTGGGTCGTCATGGTACCGACCGGCCTTGGCTGGAAAATTCCGGCCTGTTTGTTTTTACGTCCTATTAACAGCTATGGTGACAGGTGGAGGACGACTGCCCCACGTAGGCCTCGAACCCGCGACCAAAGTTCAAGTTCATCAGCTACAAGTAACAAAAGTGCAAAATACCATTTCACAACATTACACACACTCACAACACTATTACAAATAAACGAAGCTATTTATAATAATTGGGTTCTTCTCGAATTTACAAATTGTATGTATTATTTCTGAGGTATTTTTCACACCCAGTTGTGGATGGCTCGTGGAAGCAGAATGTCAGACGCCTGAACAACTTGGCCACCGCGGTCTGAGTTCAGTATCATATTTCAAAACCTTACTTATATAGGTTATATATTCTAAATAAATTCACTGCTTGATTTCTGTTCTGATATTTGTTTAAATAGTTTCATGCAATAATACGATTCGAAATAAAATGACATTTGAACATCAAACCAAAATACCGTATGATACTGATATATACGTACACTGTTAGTACAAAAACATGTACCAAAAAAAGGAAGGTGCTGTCGGTGCTGGAAAGGACACATGGCCTCAAATACATTTTACTATGAGCTAAATGACTATAAGTATNGACATACATATGTATGTATACATGTATGTTTGTATGTGAGCATAATTATTCATTTGCTTCTCCCGATCGCCTTCTTCCTCTCGTTTTCCTCATTGAATCATTATGAAATACATTGTTTATAAATATGTGTAGTAAGCCATCTTATGATGTATATATATGCTTAATTGAATTCGTAAGGAAAGGGCGCTTATAATGGTCTCGAAACTTACCATCAATCCTTTTGCTTTATAGCAATAAAAAATGTTTAAACTAAAGAAGAAGGTGATGCATTAAGTCAGTGTTTATTTTACAGGTATGAAAAAGTGTATTAATTATTATTTAACCTTAAACAGGGAATTGTACTCTATTTTATAAGTACTTTTGAAGTATTATAAGATTTTTGTGATTCAATTACATTTCAATTACATGAAGCATCACCTTTTATACACATTTTGTTTTAAGAAAATATGAAACTGTTACTGCATTTTTATTCCATCATTTTCCAAGAGTCTCGTAATTTAGACTACTATGGTTTTTAGACGTGTTTGGTTATATCAACTATAAGGGTATTCAATTTTATTAAGATATTTCGCAGTGATGCACGTGGACTGAATTAAACAGTGTTTTTACTCGCGTGGTCAAGCGTGTTACTCTTTAGGAAATGACAAATACTTCTAGGAGATTATGATGTCCGTTACGACAACGAGGAGAATGCACCCAACTCCGGCAAACTGGGAAAACAATTTGTATAATGAGCAGGGTCGATAGAGTTATCTCCCCTACACTTTTTTTTCTACCAATCTCTGTTAGAAATAATGATGATGGTAGGTACAATACAATGTATGTCACAAAATGACAGAAATTTAGTTTATGCTATATATTATTCTTATGCAGGAGGCAAAGAAATATTAACAAGAAAAGTTTAAATATTTTTCTGTTTGGGCGGCTAAATCTAAGTAGAAAATATCAAAGAATGATGTCATTAAACTCATTCGTTTTGAATATTTACACATCCATGTATATTTCCATATCATATGAATTATAAAGTACGTTTTGTAAGCGTTGTTGTAATTGTGTGAAGTACGTTTTGTAAGCTTTGTTGTATTTGTGTGAAGTACGTTTTGTAAGCGATGTTGTAATTGTGTGAAATGCGTTGTGTAAGCTTTGTTGTAATTGTGTGAAGTACGTTTTGTAAGCGATGTGTAATTGTGTGAAGTAAGTTTTAAAAGCAATGTGAAGTACGTTTTTATTGTGTGAAGTACGTTTTGTAAGCGATGTTGTAATTGTGTGACGTACGTTTTGTAAACGATGTTGTAACTGTGTGAAGTACGTTTTGTGAGCGATATTGTAATTTTGTGAAGAACGTTTTGTAAGCGATGTTCTATCTGTGTGAAATGCGTTTTGTAAGCTTTGTTGTAACTGTGTGAAGTACGTTTTGTAAGCGATTTGTAATTGTGTGAAGTAAGTTTTAAAAGCAATGTGAAGTACGTTTTTATTGTGTGAGGTATGTTTTGTAAGCGATGTTGTAATTATGTGAAGTACGTTTGTAAGCGAAGTTGTAATTGTGCGGAGTATGTTTAGTAAACGATGTTGTAACTGTGTGAAGTACGTTTTATAAGCGATGTTGTAACTTTGTGAAGTACGTTTTGTAAGTGATGTTGTAACTGAGTGAAGTATGTTTTGTAAGCGATGTTGTAACTGTGTGAAGTACGTTTTGTAAGCTTTGTTGTAACTGTGTGAAGTACGTTTTGTAAGCTTTGTTTTAGCTGTGTGAAGTACGTTTTGTAAGCATTTTTTTAATTGTGTGAAGTATGTTTTGTAAGCGATGTTTTAACTGAGTGAAGTACGTTTTGTAAGTGATGTTGTAACAATGAGAAGTACGTTTTGTGAGCGATGTTGTAACATTGTGAAGTACATTTTGTGAGTGATGTTGTAACTGTGTGAAGTACGTTTTGTAAGCTTTGTTGTAACAATGAGAAGTACGTTTTGTGAGCGATGTTGTTACTGTGTGAAGTACGTTTTGTAAGCGATGTTGTAACTGTGTGAAGTATGTTTTGTAAGCGATGTTGTAACAATGAGAAGTACGTTTTGTGAGCGAAGTTGTAACTTTGTGAAGTACGTTTTGTAAGCTTTGTTGTAACAATGAGAAGTACGTTTTGTGAGCGATGTTGTAACTTTGTGAAGTATGTTTTGTAAGCGATGTTGTAACTGTGTGAAGTACGTTTTGCAAGCGATTTTTTTTAATTGTGTGAAGTATGTTTTGTAAGCGATGTTGTAACTGAGTGAAGTACGTTTTGTAAGTGACGTTGTAACTGAGTGAAGTACGTTTTGTAAGCGATTTTTTTAATTGTGTGAAGTATGTTTTGTAAGCGATGTTGTAACTGTGTGAAGTACGTTTTGTAAGCTTTGTTGTAACAATGAGAAGTACGTTTTGTGAGCGATGTTGTAACATTGTGAAGTACATTTTGTGAGTGATGTTGTAACTGTGTGAAGTATGTTTTATAAGCGATGTTGTAACTGTGTGAAGTACGTTTTGCAAGCGATTTTTTTTAATTGTGTGAATTATGTTTTGTAAGCGATGTTGTAACTGAGTGAAGTACGTTTTGTAAGTGACGTTGTAACTGTGTGAAGTACGTTTTGTAAGCGATTTTTTTAATTGTGTGAAGTACGTTTTGTAAGTGATGTTGTAACTGAGTGAAGTACGTTTTGTAAGCGATGTTGTAACTGTGTGAAGTACGTTTTGTAAGCGATGTTGTAACTGTGTGAAGTACGTTTTGTAAGCGATTTTTTTTTTAATTGTGTGAAGTACGTTTTGTAAGTGATGTTGTAACTGTGTGAAGTACGTTTTGTAAGTGACGTTGTAACTGTTTGAAGTACGTTTTGTAGGTGATGTTATAACTGTTTGAAGTACGTTTTGTAAGCGATGTTGTAACTTTGTGAAGTACGTTTTGTTAGCGATGTTGTAACTGTTTGAAGTACGTTTTGTAAGTGATGTTATAACTGTTTGAAGTACGTTTTGTAAGCGAAGTTGTAACTGTGTGAAGTACGTTTTGTAAGCGATGTTGTAACTGTGTGAAGTACGTTTTGTAAGCGATGTTGTAACTATTTGAAGTACGTTTTGCAAGCGATGTTGTAACTATTTGAAGTACGTTTTGTAAGCGATGTTGAAACTGTGTGAAGTACGTTTTGTAAGCGATATTGTTACAGTGAGAAGTACGTTTTGTAAGCGATGTTGTTACTGTGTGAAGTACGTTTTGAAAGCGATGTTGTTACTGTGTGTAGTACGTTTTGTAAGCGATGTTGTAATTAAGTGAAGTACGTTTTGTAAGGTATATTGTATGGTGTAGTGTTAGATTTGTAAGCGATGTAACATATGTTGTCAGCGACGCTGTAAAATATCAGGTTTATTTTGTTGATTTGACTATGTGTGCTGTTTGACCATAATTAATAAAAAGCATCAACACTGTATTGAGTTAATAAAGGATAAGTGTGTTCGTGTTGCCCAGTGGTTTGTGCCCTCGCCTTTCACCAAGACGACCGAAGATGGAATCCCTTATCGGACGTGGAATGATATTGCGCCACCTGCACAACCATATCGGTTTTCTCCGGGTACTCCGGTTTCCTCCAATTTATTAAGTCTCTCTGTGCACTTCACAAAATGACCGATAGAATTGTATAACTCATTACAGTGTTATGGTATTGGCAGTGGTACACGGCTCCCTAAGGTGAAGAATTAGCAGACTAAAAAATAAATTCCTACTTCAAAGATGAGATTCAATTGATTTAATTATTCTTTTTCTCTTATGTCGCATTAGACGTATAATTACACTGTATACTGTTAGTCAGGATTTTATTTAAAACAAACTAATCTTTGCAAATGATGTCAGAAATATAACAAATATGTTTTGTCTCTGTCGTCCAGTAACATTGTCTGATCAGACTAACACAAGTCATTTAATTGGATAATAAGACAATGTGGAAACGTTAACGCTGTTACCCCCCCCCCCCCGACCACCCCTATTTGAGATCCAAATGGATTGTTTAGTAACATCCTTTCGTCCGCCCGCTTTTCCGTATTAACGTTTTACAACGATTATAAAACAAGTTACTTCAACTCATATTTAAAACTTTTTTGCCCCGGATATTAGCACACAGGGGGTCTTACTGTGGAGGAGGAGGAGGAGGGGGGGGGTCGCTTTTCGGGTTCAAACATCTAAGGTCAATGCTGCTATAAACAGAACTTTGCTCTCCGTAGATTTGTGTGAGTTAACATTGGTCGATTGTGTTCAAATTTAAAATGATCTCCCTTACCAGAAACATACAAGCAAAAGTCAAGGTCAAAAACAAACCATGTTATCCACTGACCTCAAATATTATTTCTTAGCAAACCTTCATTTTTTTGATAAAATGAAATATCGAGATTGTTATTTGTGATATTACTAAAAAGGGTTGTGTTGGGTTTTATACAGCCCCTCTGGCAAGCATTACCTTCAGTCGATATTCGTATTGAAGGGAGCTAGTTCTGGTTTATAATGATGTCTTCATAATAAATTGACCATTTTTGGTTAATGATTGTTTTATTCAAATCTCAAATCAACAATATTTCGGTAAAGCAGGGAGAAGTAAAGCTTCTTTTGTATCACGGTCATCGCAACTCGCCAGGATCAAAATGCTCGCGACTATCTTATTTTCTCATCTGAGATACAAATGTTACAATAATGACCCCTTCTGAGCGAATAGAAACATCGTCGTTCACTGTCTTTAAGTTTACTTCAGTTTAAAGGCGGTTGACCGTAATATTTGAAATTGTCATATAATCAGTACACTTCCATGTTGAGTTCATGGCAAATAAATAAGCAAATTCCATAGGAATACAAAAGCGAAAATATCTTTGAATATGATTCAAATGGAAAGTGGAACAATATTCAATAATGTGTCTCGCATACAGCAAAACCACTCTTTCGGTTTCTGAAAATAATAACAATCATCCTCCATTGTACTACACTTTCATGAAAATGTTAATACAGCACTTTTTAAAATCAAAAGTCCGTTAAAATCTACCAAAATATTGTTCCATGAAATGTTTGAACGTCACTCAAAGAAGATGCCATGTACTAACCCTATCGCCACCAGAGAATTGTTTTTGTACGTCACGCATGCGTGACTGTCGGTGGTGGCGTCCCAGAGACACCTACTGGCGATCTGAACGCCATGTTCTGTTTGCTGACCAATGCACACATTACAGATAATTTTATGTCGCGGAAAGTTCATACTCTTTACTTTGTTCTTAATGGCCACCGAAAGTTCACAGCATAATCTAGAGCACACGACGGGGTCATAGGTGACGTTGTCAAGGTGTTCTTGTAACAATGTCGTGATCTCCTTACGAACTCTGAAGGAAAAGAAGCCTTCATCAGGTTTCATTTTGTATGTGTTTTCTAAGCGAACTTTTGGCTTGGATTCTTGTTGTTCATCCGGTGTATCTAGGGTCTGTCCTAATAGTGCCCTGGTCATGCGCCTTACGTGGATTCCTTGTTGTGAACTCTGGGCAAGCTTAAAGAATGTCGACTTCCGGCGATTAGGGTTGGCAGCCGTACATTTGGATACAATCTCTTTTGAGGCCCGTCGCTTGCTTTCTGATGACCCATCATCAGTTATCTGTAAATATACAAACATCTATATCAAATAGATAAAAGGTTGGGTTTAACGTTGATAATATTAAGTCGTATACGTTGTCTGTGGGATAAGTGTTATTATTGCATTCTTTAATACTCGTCAACACACAAAACCTTACTAGGATTCATACGTGTGGTCTTATAAAAATATCAGATTGAGAAACACCCTACAAACGAAACAGTATGACAAATGTGAAACTTCTTTTGTCAGTAAAAACAGCTAGATGTGTTGTTTTTTTGGGGCCGTTTCACTATTTATACGTCACGAAATGAAAGATTTAGCATATAAAATACTGGTTGTTAGTAATACCAATGGTTTGTGCCTCATTAAAAAATATATTTTTCTAACATAGCATAACCAAATTATAATATGTAACGGAACTACAACAGTCGTGTCACCTTATCAACTGTGTTGTTAACCTATAGCGAACCGTAAACTTTGACAGTGACGTCATTGATAGTTGTGTACTTACCGTTAATTCTGAAATTGTGACGTCAATGATAGTTGTGTACTTACCGTTAATTCTGACATTGTGTATCCTCAGATATCACAAACACACGCCAAATATGTGTGGTGAACCTGGAAAATATGATATTGGACAAATATTATATTTGAATTAACTCAATTTTATTTCGAGATTAAATTGTAATTATTTTAAACTAGAGACTAATAAAATCTATTCAAACCCTCGGGGCAAAATATTGAGAAAAAAGGACCCTCCGCAAAGCCTCGGGTCTCCTGCTCAATATTTTATTTCTTGGGTTTGAATAACCTTATCCATACCTCACATCAGGGATGTATTCTATAAATCTTAGACACCTTTCTTCTCGGAAACTCAACATGAAAGCCGCTATCTAATGTATACCATATCACCATGGGTAAGTGCTACAGGTTCATGATAAACATTCCTAATGTAATATTCCTCGGTTTGGATTATCCTTTACGTATTATACTAACCCTGGGATTATTTTTGTCGTAATCTAGTTTATTACGCATTGATAAGGTATTTTGCGATTAACTACCCCCATGAAGGTCAATTACACACTGCTGAAATCGCGTTTAGAAGTTGTGTCTTAGAGACAGCCGATAGAAGATATGGCAGTTGTGTTTTTTTATGTATATAGAATGTGATTATTTTTCGAGAAAAAAAACCGTGAAAGTTCATGATTTGTTCCGTTTGAGAAAATCCTTCTTGAAAAATCCGTTCTTTTTGAGACGTAGTAAACGACAATTGTGAAATTTACACGTGTTTTGCTTTTATTGTATTTACTGGAAACTGTTTTATGTTATTTCTAGATGCGGGGTGGGGCTGGGCCTGTGGCTGGGGGTTATGACTATTTATAATTTTGCCATGCTATATAAACTTATTTGTAGAAGGTCAACACATGGAAAGATTGACGATACCGACACAAGTAAGTGAAATATGCAAATTTGGTCTAAGTGGATTATAAAAATATTCATGCAAAAAGTGTTTATATGTGACGTTTCGACGACCACAGCGATCTAGCACTAGTCATCGAAACGTCACACATAGATACTTTTTGGTTGTGTTACATGAAACTTTTCATAATCCTTACCTACCAACCTGAAAAAAATGCTTTAAAAAAATGCTCTAAGTGGAAATAGCAGTTCCTAGTCTGTTGTAAATTATGTGGTTATCGCCCTTTTATTAAAAACCAACAAATAGCGTTCAAAAATACCTGACGAGTTATATGTTTCATAAACATATAATGAAAAATAAATATCCCAGAAACTTAATGGGTAAATTATCGTTCACACTACCTAAAACCCCCAGTATAATGAAGAAATAAAGGTGTGTAAGTAGTATTACCATACCTAAAGACCGTCATAAATCACCCATAATCGTCCAATCAGGTAATATACTTATCATGCATTGGCGTATAGAAAAATGCCAAATTCTGATCTACAAATTAAATTATTACATTAAGAGTACATGTAGCATGTTTTACTCCTTATTCACCTACATTTAAGTATACCTCGACTAAGCGGGTAATCCATGTCCCTTTAGCCACTTCTATAACGGTTTTCCGCCTCAGAGTTCTCCAGCCTATTTTACATCGGACTGTGTCAATGTTTTTATATTATCACGTTTATCGATATAAGAGTGGTAGTAACATAAGCCGTCTTGTTTTGAATATCAAAAGTTGAGGGGAAATTTTAACGACATAGCAACGACGCTGCAATTCAAAATTAATGAATAACAGCAGATGAATTCGATTTTTTTCATATAAGAGTTACGATGCTACAAGTATTGAAAGCCGGAGTCCCCGGAGAAAAACCACCGACCAACGGCCATTTCCTAGCGACTGCCCCAAGTAGGTTTCGAACCAGCGACCCAGTGGTGGAGGGCTAGTGGTAGCAGAGTGTCAGACGTCTTAACCACTTGGTCACCGCGGTGTCTGAGTTGAGACGTTCTATGAATGAGTTGAAATGATATAAGAGTTGAAAGTACAGACATTACGTACCAAAAGTTAAGTTGTTGATTTGATAAATATCAAACACAAATTTGGACGGTTCATATACGAATTTAGATTATTAGATTCCTTTTCTATGACAAAAGTAATCGCACCGATTAACCGGTATAATTTCGGTGCGGATGGAAGGGAGATAATTCGTCCGTAACTCGATAATTTGCTTTTAGTTCTCCTTTCAAGCATATTTCAACATCTTAATCTGCCATGTAGTGACTAAAATACATTGAGTTCTGTTTCCTCGGTTTTTGAGATGGTAAACGAAGCTTTCAAGTGACTTTCATTGTGTTTCATCTTTCTGCTCTAATCGCCGAGTCGTAATGGAGTGAAAAAAATAAAGATAAACAGGCATTTATAAAAGTTAACATGTTTTCTGTTGAATACAAGTTATTCCCTACATATTCATACCAGGATAAATTTGAGTTGCGGGCCTTTTTAGGGCGTAAGAACAGTTTTAAATTATCCCCAGTTATGTTCCTGACAAGTGTTAACAAACGGCTAGTAACAAAACAAATATAATCAAATGTAGCACATTTATCGACGAGCATGGAGTTCGAATCCTCGAAGCGGACATATGTTTGTGAGAAAAAAATATAATGAATATATACCCCTTTGTTATAGTAAATGAGCAAGGAAACTGGAACTCTTCTTTGTTGGAGATACATCACAGAAGGCTATGGCTCCCTACCTTAATTTAGTTTTAAGAACAAATTTTATTTAGGACGACTAGTTTATTACCAAGTGGGTATTTGATGGAATGACCCCTGGTAGTTTCGCATTCATAATCGGATCTGTGTTACTTTAGAACATTTCCGTAAAAAATAACACAGACATTATATCAGTAAGAATCCCAGTCCTGTACGCGTGCTCCGACGATCGTATTTATCTTCTGTCTTTGATTATTGTGAGTAAGCTTGTGTAAATAGGTAAAGTAGATACATTTACAGTTATAATTGCCTAGATTACGTATTATTCTTGTAAAGAACATTTACAAAGCTGCTCTCAGGATTTAAAAATATCGGATACAATAAGTGCTATAAGTTCAGTCGAAGCTTGCTACTTTAGAAGATAGACGCTTGAGTGGAGAAAGGTTTACGAACGGATTACGTGATTTATTTTATTCAAAGAACAGTTCTTTTCTCCCTCGATACCTTAGCATATAAAGAACAAGCTATTTAATTTGTAAAAAACGTTGACGATCTCCGGAAAGAACTTAACACGAAATCCAAGCACACTACAAATATGCTGTTAAATAGTTCTAAATTTAACGCGAAATTTCTGTTAGAGTTGTTTTCCTTACATATGTTTTTAATTAACATCGTCTGAATAAACCGTATTACACCAGTATCAATGGGAGGTAGCATACAGCATGAAAGAACCTACACGTACCTGTCTCTTAAAACCAGGAACGCGTTTTCTTTCCTCTTGCAGATCCGTACAGAATAAAACGGGTGTCCTTTTCGTCTTTTCGCAACTTATATAGTGTTCAAATACATGTCTTGAGACTTTATGCACATTTTGGGGCAATTCATGCAGTCAATTTATTTAATTTATGGACACGTTTGAATCGTGTGTCCCCTTTTTACATATCCCTTTTTTAAATCAGACGCTACCGATACATTTAAACTAAGGTAATACATTTCTGTCAATATAACCCCGCTGTATAACAAATATCGTATTACTTATTACGTTGTAACTCGTTAACAACATCCAACAAGTCGGTCGAACCCGGAGAAAAATGTCCTTATTGTATTTTGGAAATTCTTAAATATTTTTCCATATTTACCCTAAATCTCATATTACTTATTACGAAGTAACTCGTTGGCAACATTCAACAAGTCGGTCAAACCCGGAGAAAAACTGTCCTAATTGTATTTTAGAAATTATTAAATGTTTTTTCATTTTGTTCCCTGTCCTACGTATCTATCGGACAAAAGGAACCGTTTAAGTCCATTGTAATATTTAAAAAAAAAGTTTAAATGATATGTTACTTACCTGTATAATAGAAACAGCTTGTCCTTTCTCTGGGTCAGTAGCTTTTTACATTTTCCAACAAAACTCGTATTTTTTTTAAGGAAAATATGATCAGTCCAGGCTTTCGTATCCCGTACCCTGGGAAACCTCCTTTCAAATGCGGGCCGATGTGTATATTGACTATAATCCCTCTAGTTTACTGCCAATGTGTATTGGATGAGGGTTTTTACTTAAAGCTTGTAACAACGGAGTCCTGTTTACCATATACTAGTCAAGCCTAGCGATTAAGCCACTTGATCTGGGTTTATTTTAATTATTAAACAAATATCCTCTTTAAATATTTGATTTGGGTCTCGTCAATTTAAACACGTTACGGCATGAGAATGTATGACTATCAGTGTTCGGGGGTAAATCGACAATGTTCCATTGTTCATAGATTGTCATTGTCATATGGGTTGTGTAATAAAACTGAGTTACGTTGGGTTTAGGTGCAGGATGTAAAAAAACAAACATTATTTGACCAAAATATCTATTTGTATGTTTCAATTATTATAGGACCGTTATCATTAGAAGATGATAAACATTTATCTTCTAGTGCACAAACAAACAATTTCACACCTGTTTGTAATGTTTAAACACGCTGTAAACGTATTTACGGGGAGTATAGAGAGTAACGGAATTACACATAAACCAAACTGTCCGGACAAACGACGTCCTACTGTTTACATAAACCAAAGTGTCCGTACTAACGACGTCCTACTGTTTACACAAACCAAAGTGTCCTGTCTAACGACGACCTTCTGTATACACAAACCAAAGTGTCCAGTCAAAGTGTCCAGTCTAACGACATCCCACTGTATACAGTGCCCAGTCTAACGACGACCTACTGTTTACCTAAACCAAAGTGTCCTGTCTAACGACGACCTTCTGTTTACATAAACCAAAGTGTCCTGTTCAACAACGACCTACTGTTTACATAAACCAAAGTGTCCTGTCTAACGACGACCTTCTGTTTACATAAACCAAAGTGTCCTGTCTAACAACGACCTACTGTTTACATACACCAAAGTGTCCGTACTAACGACGTCCCACTGCATACACAAACCAAAGTGTCCTGTATAACGACGTCCCACTGTATACATAAACAAAAGTGTCCTGTCTAACGACGTCCTACTGTTTACACAAACCAAAGTGTCCTGTCTAACGACGTACCACTGTATACACAAACAAAAGTGTTCAGTCAAACGACGTCCTACTGTATACACAAACCAAAGTGTCCAGTATAACGACGCTCACTGTATACACAAACCAAAGTGTCCAGTCTAACGACGTCCCACTGTATAGACAAACAAAAGTGTCCAGTCTTACGACGTCCTACTGTTTACACAAACCAAAGTGGCCAGTCTAACGACGTCCCCCTGTATACACAAACCAAAGAGTCCTGTCTAACGACGTCCCACTGTATACACAAACCAAAGTGTCCAGTATAACGACGTCCCACTGTATAGACAAACAAAAGTGTCCAGTCTTACGACATCCTACTGTTTACATAAACCAAAGTGTCCAGTCTAACGACGTCCTACTGTTTACATAAACCAAAATGTCCAGTCTAACGACGTCCCAATGTATACACAAACAAAGTGTCTTGTCTAACGGCGTCCTACTGTTTACACAAGCCAAAGTGTCCTGTCTAACGACGTCCCCCTGTATACACAAACAAAAGTGTCCTGTCTAACGACATCCCACTGTATACATAACCCAAAGTGTCCGTACTAACGACGTCCCACTGTATTCACAAACCAAAGTGTCCAGTCTAACGACGTCCCACTGTATACACAAACAAAGTGTCTTGTCTAACGACGTCCTACTGTTTACACAAACCAAAGTGTCCAGTCTAACGACATCCCACTGTATAAACAAAACCAAAGGGCCCAGTCTAACGACGTCCCCCTGTATACACAAACCAAAGTGACCAGTGTAACGACGTCCCACTGTATACAGAAAACAAAGTGCCCAGTCTAACGACGTCCCACTGTATACACAAACCAAAGTGTACTGTCTAACGACATCCCACTGTATAAACAAAACCAAAGTGCCCAGTCTAACGACGTCCCACTGTATACACAAACCAAAGTGTCCTGTCTAACGCCGTCCCACTGTATACACAAACCAAAGTGTCCAGTCTAACGACGTCCCACTGTATACACAAACCAAAGTGTCTTGTCTTACGACGTCCTACTGTTTACACAAACCAAAGTGTCTAGTCTCACGACGTTCCACTGTATACACAAACCAAAGTGTCCAGTATAACAACGTCCCACTGTATACACAAACCAAAGTGTCCTGTCTAACGATGTCCCACTGTATACAAAAACCAAAGTGTCCAGTCTAACGACGTCCCACTGTATACACAAACCAAAGTGTCCAGTCTTACGACATCCTACTGTTTACATAAACCAAAGTGTCCAGTCTAACGACGTCCCACTGTATACATAAACGAAAGTGTCCAGTCTAACGACATCTTACTGTATACACAAACCAAAGTGCCCAGTCTTACGACATCCCACTGTATACACAAACCAAAGTGTCCAGTCTAACGACGTCCCACTGTATACACAAACCAAAGTGTCCTGTCTAAAGTCGTCCCACTATATACACAAACAAAAGTGTCCAGTCTAACGACGTCCCACTGTATACACAAACCAAAGTGGCCAGCCTTACGACATCCCACTCTATACACAAACCAAAGTGACCAGTCTAACGACGTCCCACTGTATACATAAACGAAAGTGTCCAGTCTAACAACATCCTACTGTATACACAAACCAAAGTGGCCAGTCTTACGACATCCCACTCTATACACAAACCAAAGTGTCCAGTCTAACGACGTCCCACTGTATACACAAACCAAAGTGTCCTGTCTGACGACGTCCCACTGTATACACAAACAAAAATGTCCTGTCTTACGACATCCCACTGTATACACAAACCAAAGTGTCCAGTCTAAAGACGTCCCACTATATACACAAACCAAAGTGCCCAGTCTAACGACGTCTCACTGTATACACAAACCAAAGTGCCCAGTCTAACGACGTCCCACTGTATACACAAACCGAAGTGTACAGTCTAACGACATCCCACTGTATACATAAACCAAAGTGTCCGTACTAACGACGTCCCAATGTATACACAAACCAAAGTGTCCAGTCTAACGATGTCCCAATGTATACACAAACCAAAGTGTCCAGTCGAACGACGTCCCACTGTATACACAAACAAAAGTGTTCAGTCTAACGACGTCCTACTGTATACACAAACCAAAGTGCCTTGTCTTACGACGTCCTACTGTTTACACAAAACAAAGTGTCCAGTATAACGACGTCCCACTGTATACATAAATCAAAGTGCCCAGTCTAACGACGTCACACTGTATACACAAACCGAAGTGTACAGTCTAACGAAATCCCACTGTATACATAAACCAAAGTGTCCTGTCTAACGACGACCTTCTGTTTACATAAACCAAAGTGTCCAGTCCAACGACGTCCCACTGTATACATAAATCAAAGTGCCCAGTCTAACGACGTCCCAGTCTAACGACATCCCACTGTATAACGACGTACCACTGTATACACAAACAAAAGTGTCCAGTCTAAAGACGTCCCACTGTATACACAAACGACCTACTGTATACACAAACCAAAGTGTCCAGTATAACGACGTCCCACTGTATCCACAAACCAAAGTGTCCTGTCTAACGACGACCGTCTGTTTACATAAACCAAAGTGTCCTGTCTAACGACGTCCCACTTTATACACAAACCAAAGTTTCCTGTCTAACGACGTCCCACTGATACACAAACCGAAGTGTACAGTCTAACGAAATCCCACTGTATACATAAACCAAAGTGTCCAGTCGAACGACGTCCTACTGTATACATAAACGAAAGTGTCCAGTCTAACGACGTCCTAATGTATACACAAACCAAAGTGTCCGTACTAACGACGTCCCAATATATACACAAACCAAAGTGTCCAGTCGAACGACGTCCCACTGTATACACAATCCAAAGTGCCCAGTCTAACGACGTCACACTGTATACACAAACCGAAGTGTACAGTCTAACGAAATCCCACTGTATACATAAACCAAAGTGTCCAGTCTAAAGACGTCCCACTGTATACACAAACGACCTACTGTATACACAAACCAAAGTGTCCTGGCTAACGACGACCTTCTGTTTACATAAACCAAAATGTCCAGTCTAACGACGTCCCACGGTATACACAAACCAAAGTGTCCTGTCTGACGACGTCCCACTGTATACACAAACAAAAGTGTCCAGTCTAACGACGTCCTTATGTATACACAAACCAAAGTGTCTTGTCTTACGACGTCCTACTGTTTACACAAACCAAAGTGTCCAGTCTAAAGACGTCCCACTGTATACACAAACGACCTACTGTATACACAAACCAAAGTGTCCAGTCCTGTATACACAAACCAAAGTGTCCAGTATAACGACGTCCCACTGTATCCACAAACCAAAGTGTCCTGTCTAACGACGTCCCACGGTATACACAAACCAAAGTGTCCTGTCTAACGCCGTCCAAATGTATACACAAACCAAAGTGTCCAGTCTAACGACGTCCCATTGTATACACAAACCAAAGTGTCCTATACACAAACCAAAGTGTCCTGTCTAACGACGTCCCACTATATACACAAACAAAAGTGTCCAGTCTAAAGACGTCCCACTGTATACACAAACAAAAGTGTCCAGTCTAACGACGTCCTAATGTATACACAAACCAAAGTGTCCGTACTAACGACGTCCCAATATATACACAAACCAAAGTGTCCAGTCTTAAGACATCCTACTGTTTACATAAACCAAAGTGTCCAGTCTAACGACGTCCTACTGTATACATAAACGAAAGTGTCCAGTCTAACGACGTCCCACTGTTTACATAAACCAAAGTGTCCAGTCTAACGACGTCCCACTGTATACACAAATCGAAGTGTACAGTCTAACGACGTCCCACTGTTTACATAAACCAAAGTGTCCTGTCTAACGACGATCCACTGTATACACAAACCAAAGTGTCCTGTCTAACGACGTCCCACTGTATACACAAATCGAAGTGTACAGTCTAACGACGTCCCACTGTATACACAAACCAAAGTGTCCAGTCTTAAGACATCCTACTGTTTACATAAACCAAAA